GGCTAATCCTGGGTGTTCCTGGCCTAGGTTCTCACAGCTTCCCTGGTCCTGGCTGGAGGAGTTTGACCCCGAGAATGTCTGCGAAGCACAGAGAAGGGGCCTGGGGGCAGTGTGGGGAGAGGAAGAGAAGTCCCCTGCATTCTGGTCCAGGTTCTGCTGCCAACTAACTGTGTGGCCTCGGGCCAGTCTTTCCCCTTTGAGGGGCCTTACTCTCCTCATTTGTGGAACAGGAAGGTGCAGCCAGTGGATGTGGAGCAAAACAAGGCTGTGCCCCTCGAGGTTATAGAGAAGCCTCTGCCAGCATCGGCTCAGCCTCCTACACACACACACACACACACACACACACACACACACACACACAATGTCAGGACAAAGCCTCAGGACAGGAGGTGGCCACTTCAGAGTACCTGCTTCCCCAAGGCCTGCCTGTCACCACCACCATGAAGCCTTCAAGATTCCTCTTTCTGCCACACCTCCTCCAATTGTTGGCCTCAGCCTTCCACTCAGAGGCAAACGGGTTGTAAAACTGAGTGTGGCTGAGCCTCATCCCTGAGGTTGCATCTGCGATTCCCTCAGATCATGTCAGCTTCAGACTCCACCCAGCCAGGGGTCCACCCAGCTCTCTAGCCACTTACTGTGAAGTCCTGGAGCACCTCCCCCTTCAGGCAGACCCCTCCTTGGGTCCTGGCCAGACCCGACCCAGAGGTGGGAGCTCCTGCAGCTATAGTCCCTGTTCCCTGGCCTCACAGTCCCCTCTTACAAGGACAGCCAGGCCTTGCCCAATGGCTAAGAGGCCACCAGCTCAAATCTCCTTCATTTTTGCCTCTCTCACCCCCACTGCTTCTGAGGCCTTGAGTCGCATTTGAGGTCCACAACATGTTAGTCTCCAGGAGAGGCCTTAGTTAAATCCTGGCCCCATACCTGGTGGCCATGTGTCCTCGGGGTACCACCAGTCCCCTCTTTAGAAAGGAATTGCCCAGCCCGTTGGATACTTTACACAAAGCTTGTCTTGCCCTGCCTGGCACCGATGCCCAGCATGGACTGTGAGACCTGTACACTGACCTGCTCCCTGGGCTGGGCCAGGGGATCCCTGACCCACAGAAAGGAAAGCCTACCTTCTTGCCCCTCAACGGGGCCCTGCGTGGCTGTGCAGATCCTCCCAGCTGCCCGGGCTGGATGTTCACTCACAGAGGTACTGGGTGGCTTTGAAGTCTCTCCACATTCCCCCAAGAGGACTTCTACATCCTCTAGAGCTGGAGCCCTCCTGCCAGGACCCTGCTTTGGTACCTGAGCTTTGGGGGTCACTGACCTGTCAGGGCTGCTCTCACCTGGATTTTCCCACAAGTGAACCTGGACTCTGGCTCCCAGCCTGACTTAAGTCAAAGAGAGAGAAAGCTGTTGTGGGAGGGGTTGGGGGTGAGGCTTGGGGGAGGGAAGCAGTGGTTGTCCTGAGCCTAGAAGGAGCTTGTGTTTGGAGGCCCTGTTAGTATCCCCAAATCCTCCTGTGCTGTTGGGGACAACACAGCACTGTGCTGGAAGCTAGAGTCCTGTCCTCACGCTGCCTGGCTCAAGCCTTGGCTGGCCATGCTTAGCAGCTGGCTGTGTGGTCCAGGTAAGTTATTGGACTTTGCTGAGCCTTAGATTCCTGACTGTGAAAGTGGGGACCAGGTAGCGAGCAGGCGCGCACAGCGCCCCCTGCATGCAGGCACTCGGAAGTACTGGCTCATCTGTCCTCGCAGCACCTCCCTGAGGTGCTGAGAGGCTTCAGTGATCCCCCTGCTGCTTTGTTAAAGCCTGGAGGCCCGATCAGGTGTGGAGGATGATGGACATGCTAGGGTGGGCGCAAGCAGCCACAACTGCTAGCTGCACAGATGCAGGGGAGGAGGGTGCCAGGCTGCATCTTAGTGTGTCCTCAGGTTGGTGTGCGGATCCTTCAGCCACTCTCTAAGGCAGTCATCAAACACTTCCTAGCATACCTCTAGTCCTTGCACTATGATGCAGGTGTTAGAAGTCTGGGTCAAAATTAAAAATAGATGACATGAAAGCAGAAGGGATACTATTAAGAGGAGGGAGATGGGGGTGAGGATGATCAAAGCATGGTGTATGCATGTAGCAACAGGGCAAAACAAAACACTATATAAGCAGTACGCACCAATGGGGTGCTGGGGGACACCTGGCTCAAGATCTTGGTTCTTGCTTCTTGGTTGTGGAGATGTGGATTCGTCTCCTAACTTTTGAGCTCTTCGGGTTTTGTCCCATGCGGATCCCGACGTGGACACTGGAGATGTGGAGGACAGCCACACCGAGGGCACGATGGGGGCAGTCGAAAGGGGTCCGGAAGGAGAAGGGGCATCCTGAGGGCCATGGGCGCAGGGAGAGCTCTGCTGAGAGACGGAAGCGTCTGATGTGCGCCTGGCCCAGGCAGGGGGCCCGGGGCCTGCTGGGGCGCAGCTCACGGACATGAAGGCCCAGAGGGTGACCGCGCAGGCGCACCGAGCGCTTGAGGGTAGGGAGCAGACCGGTAGCAGGTACGCCGCTGGATGAGCAGCTCTTGGTCCAGAACTGGCCGTTCTGGCTGCGACCAGTGCCTCTGACGAACAGCAGGTGGCGCTCCTGGCCTAGCCAAAGGTTCTCCAGCCCCTGCCCAATCCCCGCGACGTCCGGTGAGTAGGCCTGTGGCTTCCCAAGTCCCAGAGCAGCCAGCCACCTATGCCGAAGGGCTGAGCTCTCTGCATGCCTTGGGCACAGAGGCCATCCTTATGGCGTCTCTGAGGGGTGGGTCTCGGAGCCTTGCTCACCGCCCAGGACAGGGTGCTCACTCCTATTACAATAGCCCCTGCTGGCTGTGGCTGACTCCAGCTGCTCCAAAGTCCTTCTATGCACCAGCTGACATCTGGCTCTCCCAACTGCACTCCAACCACTCCTGTGTCCCTCTGGGAGCTCCTCAGAACCACTCTATCCCCAGGGTCTGCTCATCCTCCCTGCAAGGTAAACTGAATCCTCACTTCTGCGTCGCTCTCTTTGTTTTATCCCAGCCACTTCTGTCAAGCCCACAGGGTGCCGGGCTCACGTACTGTATCCAAATTGTAGTTGGGAAACAGGCTCAGGGGGGTAAAGTTGCACTAATGTAACACAGCATGTAAATGGCAGCGGTGGGATTTGAATTCAGGTACTTTCCCAACCCATAGTCTGAGCTCTTTGCCTCCAAGCTGTGCTGCCTCAACTAAAACCAGGGGCCCACCTGCGGGTCTCACCAGCCTTTTCTTTCCCAGCTGCCTATCCAAGGTGCTCACGGGTCCAAATTCCGAAAGATTTGGGAATGGGATTTCAAAGGCTGGGATCTCAGAGCTCCTAGAGATTTCTAGTAGCAGAGTTGAGATGTCTCCTGTCTCCCTCCAGCATGCCTGCCAGAGGGCGGCGAGGCTGGCGTTACATGGGCTTCAGGCTCCTCAAGGAGTCCCTTCAACACAGTTCCATCTTAGGCTAAGCTGACCTTTGTCACCTGGGCCTTCTCCCAAGGGCACTGCAGGCCAACTCAGGCTCCCCTGACACCTGCAGATCATGGCTATCCCTCCAGGCCAGGCTCCCTTCCTTTCTGTCCTACCTGCACCACTCATCCTTTAGCTCCAGCTTCAACGGAGCTGGCTGTGGAGTCCCAGGGCTTAGAGAGGACAGTGGCCAACGGCAAAGACATCTAGCTGTCTGTCATCAGCAAATAACTTTTTTTTTTTTTTTTTTTTTTTCTTCAATACCAGGGATTGTACTCAGGACCTTGCGTTTGCCAGGCAGGCACTTATGCTGCTGAGCTATATCCCTGGCCTAACCTTTTCTGTTCTGACTTCAGTTTCTTCATTAAAGAAGCATAGGGGTCGACAACACCAACCCCCTGGGGTTCGCAATGGGATGTTGAGGCAGCAGAGGAAAGCCCTTGGCTGATGGATGGCATGAGCTTAATGCCCTCTCTTCCCAATCCACCCCCAAGCACCTGGTTTTGGGTGAGTCGAGGGCAATTGGTTCGCGGCAAATTTGTATGGAGCAGCCACTGCATGCCAGGATGGGCCAGTGGTAGGGTCAGAGGATATACTGGGAACCTTGGGAATTAACCGCAGCAGCCTCACCCCTGCCCTCCTGGAGCTGAGGTGCCAGTGGGAGATGTCAATCAGTAGGCACAATGCAAAGCGAATCAGATGGCGGGTGCAGAGGGACTAGGTGATCAGGCTTGGGCTGGGTGCTGCCAGCTGAGACCCAGAATGGACTGCATCCGCTCCAGCCAGGGAATCTTGGGTCTCCATCTGAGGAATCTGAGTCTGAGAGAACCCGGGGGCGTTAGCCTGGGGAAGCGAGTGTACTTCAGATCTGCACGGTGACGTCTGCAGATCCATGGTATCAGGGGCTACCCCACGCTGTCTGGGGAAACTGAGGCCACGAGGGGACCAGGGCTAGTCTGAGGGCAGCCGCCCTTCTACATTCTGGAGATGGGAAAGGGGACGCTGCAGGCCGGCTGGGGGCGTGAGGGCGGTGATGGAAGCCCTGGGAGGACGCTGTTGTGACCCCCACGCGACCCACCGAGGCGGCCCCGGCTGGCGGCCCGGCCTTGTGCATGCCGCGGCTGGGCCTCGGCTGGCTGC